GAGATCTGAGGCACAGAGCTGTGACTGGAGCCGTTTAACACTAAAGTCACATTTGGCCTTCCTTTGGCCATAATATATCAAAGTGACTCTGCCTGGAAGTGGCATCAGGAGTGACCAAAACATGGGAAAGGTAGGTGATGACCATTTGGCCAGAGTGATGTGCTGTTTACACGAGAACGCAAACGGTTGTATCCGCTACTTTTTTTCTTTCGTAGAGCCTGTTCGTTCACACGAGGCCATAACGGAAACGGACCCCGTAAACGATAACGGGTCCCAAGGTGGATAGATCTGCAAACCGAACGCTCTGACGGGCCAAACGGCTCTGTGTGTACGCCCTATACCAGGGGTGGCCAACCAGTCAGAGGTTAAGAGCCACATTTTTTCTATGTTATTGCAAAGAGCCACATCAAACACACAGTCACTGATACCGCTTGTTTCAGTTTTTTGTTTTCTGGAGACAAGATTTCAACCACGTCACTGATGCATTTTTGTGGCATTGGGATATATATTTTTCAAATCCTCTGGAGCAGAGAGAGGAGCTGTGGATTATTGTTATTGATTAATGCATCAGTGTTTCTTAGGGTCAAAAACACTAAACCCACAACTTAAGATGAAAGCGTTTAGTTTATTTAATAAAAGAGCACATGTTCAATGTGAAAAGTGACAGTAGTTATAGATTATTTGCAATTTGGTGGTATATATATATAGATTTTTTTATTTATTATATATATAACTCCTTGAATTCCAGGGGGGGGGCGCGGGGCTCCGTTGGCGGGCAGCGCCCCTCCAAGACAATGGTAGGGGAAACACTGGATAGTGTTTAATCAACGATAGGTTTTCCCCCCCTCAAAGGTGATTGGTTCACTGCATTGCAGGTATTATTGTGATTGGCTCTTGGGCCACATCAAAATTAGACGCGCTGTCATCCTCTCATACTGACACCTGACACCACACATACACACGTAGGGAGAGCCGGGACGAAAGTAACACGGGACCAAAGTAACGGAGCTATTTTATCCGAGCCCGAACAACTTTGACCGGCCAAATTACGTCCGAATTATCAGTATTCAATACTTAACAGACCTACTAAATATCAGGTTTAACTGTCAGTGTTGTCACGATACCAACATTTTGGTTTCGATACCAAGTCAAGAATTGCGATTCCGATTCTTTTTCTTAAAAAAAGGGAAACAGTCTTAAATGTAATTATTGTGCTTTATTTCACACCAGAACCATAACCATAACACAAACTTTTAAACAATGAGAACAATAAATAAAATAAATGACAAGAATTCGTATTAAATAAAATTAATACATTTCTCACAGACAGGCCTCATGGTGTCCGTAGGCTTGCCCTCACTGTCAGAGATATAGCTAAAATACATCGCTTCTGGCGTCTTTTTTCTCAACAAGCCGAGGCGCAGCGGCAGCTGCACTCCCACTTGCAGCCATGCTTCTGGTTTTCTCACATGCTCTGGCAGCTAGCGCGTGCACGAGAGAGGGGAGGGACTTAGAGCGTGCTTGAGAGGGGAGGGACTTAGAGCGTGCTTGAGAGGGGAGGGACTTCGAGCGTGCTTGAGAAGGGAGGGGCTGCAGGCACGGCTGCAGTGCAGGGAGTGGAAGCAGAGCGCTAAACACACACGGCTCTTATTAAAACGGCGCTTTCTCACCGGAGTACTTTTCCCCGTCATTCTTAAAGTACCGATACTAATGAAACGGAGGAATCGTAACGTTTTTAACGGCAGGGTATCGCGGTATACCTTTCAAGTATCGGTACACCGTGCAACACTAGTCAGGAGTCAGTGTCTCTCCCCCAAACTCACACATATAAAATTCGATATGAACTGAAGAGCCGCATGAAACTAGGCAAAGAGCCGCATGCGGCTCGAGAGCCGCGGGTTGGCCACCCCTGCCCTATACGATCATTTCCTGATAACGATGAAGCCATAGCCCCACCTCTCCTGCTCATTGCTGTAGCATTCTACAGATGTTAGTGCAAAAATCTACAGCTCCTCTACCACAACCATCATCAACAAGTGGACATGGAGAATTGCATGAACAGTTGAACTACACTTTATGCCACCGCGGGGCATAAACAGAAGGGCAACCATGGCAACCATGATCGGGGGTCTTCTTCGCTGCTTTTGGTGTATTTTGTGGCGAAAGTACAGCGCCACTTACAGGCCCGGATATGTACTACAGCGTCTCCAGCGCTTTCGAGCGGTCTCGTGTGAACGGAATACTTTTTTGATATCGTATTCGGTTCGTTTGCTTTTCGTATGCGTGTAAATGGGGTCTGAGTGTGTGTGTGTGTGTGTGTGTGTGTGTGTGTGTGTGTGTGTGTGTGTGTGTGTGTGTGTGTGTCATCATCTTATTATCAAGACAGGAGGTAGCATCAAGGTGGTCCAGGTTTTGTACATCTTGGCTGTGAGACAAATGTACCCAGTGGTGTATCTTGACACATTTAAGGCCCCCTACCAGGAGCATGCCAGAACACCCAAGTTTAGAAACTGTCCTGCAGATAGCCAGCCAGCCCCCCCCCCCCCCCTAAATCTCAACCTCCACTAGAGACACACAAACACAAACACAGAATTCCCCAAACAGCCACCCATGGAGATATCTACAGGTCAGGTACAACAATGATCGGTTGCAACAAACTGACTAACAAACATATTTCCCCGGCGCCACAAACATGATCACATCAGATTAGAATTACGCAGTGCACCTTTGTGTGTGTGTGTGTGTGTGTGTGTGTGTGTGTGTGTGTGTGTGTGTGTGTGTGTGTGTGTGTGTGTGTGTGTGTGTGTGTGTGTGTGTGTGTGTGTGTGTGTGTGTGTGTGTGTAGACAATGTTTATGTTCTGTTTCTGAGGAAAGAAGATTATAACACTGAAAGGTTTTTATCCAGTTTAATTTTGTCAACAACCCTTTTTTCCATCGACCAAGACAAGGTGGTGATAGGACGGAAAAGAATAAAAAAATCTAACCAAGATTAGGCTAATTCAATATTGACTGTTTAAAACAAAAATGAAGATGTTTTTCCTTTGACTCAAATATGGCTCAAATGCCCAGACTAGAAATATAATGCTCACACGGTACCCCAGACATCTCTCCCCTCATCTCTCCTTCAACTCTCCCCTGGGACGCCCGAGGCAATTAAGGCCATATGGGATACGCTATCCCTTTCAGTGTCTCCTGGGTCAGCCCCGGGGTCTGAACATACCCAGAATACCTCAACAGGGCACCTTTCACATGAAGGTAGGAGTGTAACGGTACACGTACCCGTACCGAAATTATTCGGTACGGGCCCTTCGGTTCGGTAAAGGTGTGTACCGAAGTGTACCGAACGAATATAACGTTAAACGTAAAAAATTGAGAACGTGAATAACTTTTTGGAAGTAATCTCAGGTGCTGCGTCGCAGCATTCAGAGTAATTTGCTCACATTGGGTTCAACGCGTCATAGAGCTGAGAGGCATACTATGAGAGCTGGTCAGAGGGATGCGTTCAAATGTAGTCAGTAATTTGAGGAACTGTCAAAAATTAATGGCGAACGCAGATAAAGTTGAGCTCGAAAATCCTCCAGCATCATTGAAGTCTCCGGTTTGGGAACATTTTGGTTTCACAGTTACGTACAAGGATGACGGACAAAGACAGGTGGACCGAACCAAAGCTGTTTGTCGGCATTGTTCAACTAACATTGGTTACGCGGCTGGCAATACATCAAACTTGCACACTCTTGAAAAGGCATCACCCGAACGTGAATATCACCGGTACCAAAAGTAAAAAGACTGAAGTGCAAACCCAACTCCCACTAGCATTTAAGCCTCCACCACTCGCAGAAAGATCAGACCGAGCCAAAGCTATTACAAACGCCAAATATCCTTATGTTGCCATGTTAGCAAAGCGCTACCTGGCTGTATCTGCTACCTCTGTCCCTAGAGAGGGTGTTCTCCACAGCAGGAGACATTGTTAGTGCCAGCAGATCTGCCCTTTCGGCAAGCAATGTGGACAAGTTCATCTTTATTTAAAAAAACATGAAAATACAATGACAAGCAAGTCCTAATGTCAAGCTGGCTGCTTAGGTGCTAGTACAGTAGGCTACAGTTCAAATACAGATTATTTCAGTTCATCGAAATGCTGCACCTTAATGTTCATTTTATTATATTTTGTATTTATTTCAGTGAATATTCACAGTTTAATAATAATTAAAAACCCAAAACTAATAGTTTATGTTTTGTGAGTACTAGTACAGTAAAGTTCAAATACAGATTATTTCAGTTCATCGAAATGCTGCACCTTAATGTTTATTTTATTTTATTTTGTATTTATTTGAGTGAATACATTATTCACAGTTTAATAATAATAATAAAAAAATATATATATATGTTTTGTTTTGTGAAAAAAAATTCTGCTGTACCGAAAACGTACCGAACCGAACCGTGACCAAAAAACCGAGGTACGTACCGAACCGAAATGTTTGTGAACCGTTACACCCCTACATGAAAGTGCAGCCGATTAGCTTATTCTTTCAGTACGGAGTGCTTGTTGATGACATTTCCTTCTCTTAGTCACCATCTTAGTCATTAACACCATCTTCTCAGAAAAGTGAAGTTATTATTGGTATTCTAATGGCCCACTTCTCCATTTACTTGTATTATATGTTTAATACTTCCCCTTTCTCAACTTCGGCTCTTTTTTATAACCACAGAAATATTGCATGGGTTTTCATATTAGTAGTTCTACTTCCTGATATAGAAACGCAAACCTTTTCCTCTTTCTCATTGAAAGTAAAGCAGGGCAAAAAGAAGTCAGTAGGATGCATGTTATGATACTTGGATTACTTCAATATATCGTGATGTATTCAATACTGTAAATAAGGTGATACATATTGGGAATTTAAAATTGAATTTCAGGAAATAATAAGGAATGGACCACTATATGCGAAAGACTATACACAGTTCATTTAATAAATACATTGAGAAAAAGCGTGAGTTTCCTTACCTGGCAGCGGCTGAAGATGTCGCAGGGCTTGAGCTGCACATTGAAGTGTCGGAGGACTCGAGCGGCCTGGTCTCGGGCCTTTTCGGCACAGTCCAGGGACAGACAGCGACCCTCTCCTACCTGGGACCGCAGCTAAGAGGCAAACAGGGAACATACATAAACATGTTCATCATCAGTTTGTAGACTTCAGATGTGTTGATATTAGTAAGTACTCACAGTTTGATACGGTTGTCCACACGTAAGAATGAATCGGCCTTCAGCTTGTGCTAACTGACACACAACAAATACACATTAGAACATAAACAGCAAATATATACACTCATTTTATTCTAGGTTATCCAAAAGATGAAACTTATCAAAAACAAAATGACAATGATATAACAATTTCCAATATTTGCATGATTTATTGATCGACTTCACTTTGATTTCTGCTCTCTAAAAACAGTTTGCTCTCCTTCGTGCTGCACATTAGGGGGGAACATACCTGTATTAACAAGGCGGCCCTTAAGCAACTTAACAGCAACATACATTACATTTATATCACCACATTTCATTTTTGTATTTTTAGGGTGATGACATCATAAAATATGACAGACATTCAAAGCTTCCTTTCGTAAACCTCAACAGAAGTTTAACATAAATATTTAATTTAGTATAAAACTAGTTTAATGAGTATAAAAAGGTATGTGTCTTAAGCTGTGACGTCTAACTAACCTTTGCTGCCACTCTGTGATCATCAGTGTTCTCCAACATGATCACATCGACTCCCAGGCAGCGCAGGTACCTCCCGAGTCCCTGCAGCATGTTGTCACACACCACCCGCAAGTGCTGGGGGGGCAGAGGGGGGGCGTCTTCAGAAGGCTTCTCGCCACACAGGAGGCCTTTCTCTGTGTCGGAGCGAGGGGGGCTGACCCTTTGAGCCCCCTGACATTCCTAAATGGACAGAGACAATAATGTGATACTTAACTGATCCCCACAGGGGGATTTTCTTTTCACTTGCACCGCAGTGCAGGGAGGTCAAAGCACAGGGTGAGCTTTACAAACGCACCCCTGGAGCTGCGAGGAGCTGCTGAAGTGTCTCGGTCAAACACATATTATCTCCCCATGCAGGTTAGACGCTCAAATCTAGGTTTTTCAGTTTGTTCTGTAAGTGGGTTTGATCCAATTCATTGCAGTTTGTGAAGTTAAACAAACATCAAACATAACTCTGTTGACTTTGGTGTGAGTTGCTGTGTCTTTGAAGTATGGCCCTTAGAGTTGACTGCCTACTCAATAATGGAACTACATGGCACGCTGTTTGTGTTGCTCTTAATGGCAGAAATCATGACCCAATTACTCAAGATGATCAACTGATATTGGTGCTAAAATGTTCTCAAAGAAACAATTTATTTTACTAAACTACATCCGCCAACCATACCACCACATAGAATAAAGTGTGCATCTACTTAGGGTCATGATTTCTGGAAGGAGACATGGATGATGAGGTTTTTGGCACCACAAGCCAAGTACCATCTAGTTCCATGACATTTGATGTGAAGCAGACGTCTTTACAGCTGATGCCTCAAACACTCTGCAACTCACACAGAACAACTATCTAGAATGAAAAAAAGGTCTACTGGTAAATATTATTTTTTGATTGTGGGGTGACATGAAGCATTTCAAATACTATTCTGATACAAGGCCCTTCTAAAGCTACCTGCTGGTTTTTTCTCAGGTTGTTTATTCATGAGAAGTTGCACAGAACTATGAGAGGAGGACCATATCAAACGTATTCAGAGTCAAACATGAACATGTCAGGGTCAGGAATCGCTCAGGCACCTAATGGATTCTTCCACAATCTCATGATGAAATGTCCCGCTCTTGATTTCAGCCTTTCTGTATAAGTCGAAATGTTGAAGGATTCATTTGTCCTTACATCCACTACTCAAGCCATTTGGTATCAGTTGAAAACCATCAAAAACAACTATTGCTGGAAGATTTGACTCCTGACCTCTTTGTCACAGGACTTTTCCTCTTTCTTCTTTTTGTCTCCTCTCTTCTCTGATTGGCGGGACATGATGCTGCGCAGGTCCGAGGGTAGCCCAAATTGATCTGGATTGCCGGATAGGACTGAGTACACCTCCAGCAAACAGCAGGCATCTGCCACTAGATGGACATTAAAAAAAACAAGAGAGAGGAAGAGGGGTGAATGTATTGGTTTGCAGCTCGTCAGGGGATAACGAAATAATCTGTTCTATAGTGAAAAGAGCATCAACCATCTGTCTCAGTGTCATTGTCTGTGTGTGCATTATACCGTACCTGCATATCTAATTTGGCTGATGCGCAGTGGCCGTTTCTCCCAGTTGGACATCTGCTCGGTCTTGTCCAGGGGCTTTTTGAGGACCTGTTGTACCAGCAGACTGAGGCCTTTCTCTGAGGAGCCCTCTCCTACCAGCAACTCTTTGGGTCCATTCTGAGGCCTGTTGATCTTTTGACGCTGGATCTGTAGACAACATTATAGAAATTCAAAGTCAGAATAACACGGTTGGGTCCATACTTCAGATTAATCGACTAAAGAGCTGTTAAGCAAATCTATGAATGACTTCGGCCAAGGTGATTATGTTTTCCTGTCAACAGGATTATGAAATAACTCCAGTAAAGGCTCGATTTTGATGAAACTTGATGGAAGGGTGAAGTATGTTTCATTACATTTTAGAGCTGATCTGTATTAGGAGGTGGCTACTCTAATTATGTAATCATTGCTGCAATGATGTGACACCAAAGTCAGTAGAACACCTCATTTTGAAAGTGGGACCACCCCACTTTTTAACATCCATTTAGTGGCAGATGCCTACTGCTTTAATGTCCTGTTACAACATCCTCTTTCACTCAGACATTCCTTTCTCTGTGATTTTCAAAAACATTTCTTGGATTCCTCAGATCCTGCAGCATGCAGCGTACTCCAGCAGATGGTGAGGTGACCTCATGGGTAACAGACCCTTGTTGCCGTTTCCACATTCCTATCCACCTCAGAGACTTAGCTACATATATGTCAGGCAAACTACTGGGCCACAGCTGCAGGATGTACCTGAGTTATGACCATGCAATGAAACACAGAACCAAAAGTTACAATCCCCTCGTCCTCTAACTGAGTTGGATGGGGGACAGTGGCAATGCCAATACTGGTGCTTGCTAAGCTGAATCAGGCTACTCAGTTCCAGACACTCTTAAGTATCAAAACCCACGCCATACTTCTGTACACCTACTGCTGGGACACATTTCTCTTGCCTGACACCTTCTGTAGTATGCTTAATGTTATAATAATTAAAAACTAAAAGGAAATAGAAGCACAAACCCAATTCATAGGCACCCACCTTTGCTGTTTTGAAACAAATAAAGTAAAAACAATACAGTAGGGCAGAGGTGCCCAGTACGTCGACCGCGGGGGCAATGCTGGTAGATCGCGAGTCATTCATAAAAAAAAATCCAGCTCCGTTAAAATAGACAAAACAGGTTTTGATCCCTCCTCCCTTGGCCTGATTGATTGACAGAAAAAGCGACCTATCACTTTCCAGTCTGTCGCAAAGCGATACAAAATCAGTCAAGTGACGTAAAAACTCAAATTAAGAGGCAAACAAGAGACAAACAACAAAATGAGTGCGGGACCGAGCAAAAAGCTAAAGACATACCACTTCCACCCAGAATGGGAGGAAGAATATTTTTGTTGTGATGTCACATTCAAAGGTTATTTGCCTTATTTGTAAAGCAAGCGTCGCTCTGCCAAAGAAAGGTAACGTGGAGAGGCATTATCGGAGTGTTCACAAGGCATATGACAGCGACTTCCCTCCGAGTAGCGAGTTGAGAAAGAGAAAGGTCTGTATTATTGCTAAACAAACATTATCTCGCAGTCTTAGTGTCGCCAACTCGTTTCTAACATGCAAAAAGACAAACAAATGCGTCTATGGTCAGTGTATTTTTGATCTTTCCAATCGAGACGAGATCTCTCTCTCCCCCGTCTGTGTGCGAGGGGGCGGGGCAGTTTTACACACACGCAGCTGCTACATGCAGCAACACATGGCGGCGATGGCGGAGAGAAGCGCTCCAAGGTGTGGTTAAATGTTACCCGTCTTGAGGTGGAGAATGCTCCTTGCCAAGAGTGTTTAGCATGTAAGGGCGGTAACACGAGCAATTTGTCTAAACATTTAGCAAAAGTGCTCCACATTCAGACGGAGGAATGCACCGGGTTCAACTGTCTTTCTAGTAGCTCTGTAGCCCCATCCACGAGTAACGTTTCCACGTCAGGTGTTATTATGTATGCTAGCAGCAACACACGGAGTTAACTCAATTATACAAGCATGGGTTAATGATTAGAGGTAACTGAGTTATTTATTTTGTTAAAGTTTCAGCTATTCTGTTTACAGTTCTGTCATCAGATTATTTAATACGATTAATTAAAACATTGTTGTTTCTTTTGATGTGAAATATTATTTATTTAATTAATAAAAAGCAATGTTAATTTTGTTCACAATTTGTTAAGTTAATTTAATAATATATGTATTTTTGAATCAAGTATTCATCTTTATTGTCGTCTTTGTTAGTTTCCACATGCCTAAAACAACCTCAAGCTAAATCTAAAAGTTGATGGCTAAATAAGAGCGTTTGAGAAATTGTGCAAGGCATACAGTAATAGTCCGAATAGTCGATTAGTCGTTTCATTAATCGATAGATTAATCGATTATCAAATTAATCGTTTGTTGCAGCCCTATTGTAGTTATCCCATGTATAAATAAAACGTGTTATTCAGCAACCCTTGCAATTTGGGATTTTATTTTTGGTTGGTAGACCTCTGTGAGCTGGTCATTTCAAAAGTAGCTCACCAGCCAAAAAAGTGTGGGCACCCCTGCACTGGGCCAAAAATGAATCTGCAGAGTAATCTCTAGATTTATCGATTGACAGGTTGTTCTATCTATGTCAGAACATGTAAATATATTGTGAACATGTATGTGAATTTTACCTTTGGGTGTATTTTAAGAAGATCAAGCACCCCCTCCATCTTTAATGGCTCCTCTAAAAGCTGCTGCCAAGTGGCCAGGAGACACTTGATATCTCCTGACATACCATAACCTGAATAGGAAGAATGTCAGAGATGGAAATTATAAACAGAAATGCCTCAGACGAAATTGATTTAACCTTACTTAAGTATGTTTCTTACCCAGTTTGATGATGCTCCTGTCAGAGAACAAGCTCCTGATGAAACTAACAGTCCCAGGGTGTTGACAGAATCCAGCTACACAAAGGTCTAATAAGAAAACCTGATCCAAAGCTGCAAGCTGTATCAGGGCCACTCTCTGAGTGGAGATACAGCCAAAGGTGGGCTGCCACTCCATGTCAACTCCTACCACACCACCCTCCTGGAGAAATCATAGGTAAACAAAGACAGGAGTGGTTAAGACTGCAGCAACAAGTTAAAATAATACAAAAAGTAAAGGATATATACACTCTAAGACAGCGGTTTTCAAAGTGTGAGGCGCGCCTCCACAGGGGGGCGCCAGAGACCTTCAGGGGAGGCGCAACGTCAGAAAAAAATAACGAGAAATAGTGAAATCTAGCTAGTTAACTTCAGCTAACTTTATGCGAGCGGCAACATGGATCGATTTTTAGTGAAGTTGCCTAAAGTGAGAGAGGAGACAGCGTCTGGCAGAAAACGTGTGTCACTTGGGGCGGACTGGTCCTCTGTAGAATCTGGAGAATCACAGAATGGCCGGCTCAGTTCGCTGGCGGCCGGCACCGCCCTTAATTTTGTATGTTTTTAAACAGCATCATTGAAGTTGCGCTGACAGGCGACAGAGGTCCACCGTTTCCCCGCAGCGAGGCTCCCCCCCCCCGTTTACAGTTCACTAGCGCCGTGGGCTGGGTGAGATTCCAGGGCTGATTTTTAGTCCCAGACCACCCTGTGGAGACCGAGTTCCCCCACCTCGCCAAAAAGGCTGTAAAAGTGCTCATTCCCTTCACTCCACCTACCTGTGTGAGTGCGGGTTTTCCGCATTGACTTTGATCAAAAGCAAGTACCGGTCAAGGCTGCAGCCAGAGGATAATCTGCGTTTATTCCTGGCTACATTGCATCCCCGCATCATCCGCCTGTGCGCAATGCGCATCAAAGACGCAGACTCATTGTTCCCACTAAAGTAGGGGTGAGTGTAATAAGGAGGCAAAGTTGACATTCAGTGTGTTCCCGGGAGCATATAAGGATTCATCCACGATGTTGAAAAAATGTAAAACATAAAGATAAAAAGGTTTAAAAAAGTTATTGTTTAATGTTTTAAGGAGGAGACGCTACTCAGCCAATCAAATCGGTGCAGTCAGTGAGTCAGCACGATAGATTCAAACACACAGAGAGACGAGACAATAAGAGAGAAACAGTCGGAGTCATTTCAAATGGCGTGCTCAAAAAAGAGAAAGGTGGACAGCGAAAACAGAGCATTTAATGAACTGTTCTCTTCCTGGACCTCTTTGAAATTGAATACCTCTGCATTGTAGCAACAACAACAATAATAATAATAGCAATAATAATTGGGAGGGGGGGGAACGGCTGTTCTGATGTTCTCTGAGGGGAGGTTCAACTTCCCACACTTTGAAAACCCCTGGTCTAAGACAATATATGGAGAGGGATAACTGTAGTGTCCTTTAAGCAACAGCTGTAGATGAATGTAGAGCAAATTAAGTGTTGGACATAGGTATTGTAAATGTGTCGTATGCATTGTATCCCCCATGGTGTTGTATTGTAGGATATTGTGACATTTTGAAACCCAATAGTTATAGAGATTTACATTAATGGACACAATTCCTTTTTGTTTTGGTTCTCTGTACCTTCAGCACAATGTTTCGACATCTCTGAAGAGCTTCAGGCGAGTACACGAAATGAACCTTGTCTTTGGTAAGCGGCACCTGGTAGAACTTCTGACAGTGAGACTGAGACGGTATCCAGTCCTCAGTTTGTGCTGAACCACCAATATGTCTGAGAAGAGGCAACAAATGTGTGTTATTTAAGAGTGTGAACAAAGGAGTTTGGGAAAAGAGAATAGCACAACATCAGCCGATGCAGAATGAGACAGAGAAAGACAGCAGAGAAACAGGCAGAAACTGGTCATCTTTAATTGCCTCCTGTGCATATTACTTGGAGCCTATAGAATATGTTTATGCATATGTTGGCCAACTCACTGTAGATCAGGCGGTAGATCCTGCTGCGTCTCCCAGACCCCACAGGGCAGTCTGTTCCTGGGGATGTTGTATCGCAGTGCCCACTGAGCGGCTTTCTGAATATCAGAGTACCTCACTAACAACTCCACCAATGATATCCTCAGCTCAAGGTCATCTGCCACGACGTACTGTATACACACATAATACACAAGTGGAGTCAAAACGTCATCACGTAAAACACATCATAAATACCTTATTGATACTAACATACAGTACAGTATATACATCTCTACACAAACATTACATTACATGTTAGACACTTTTATCCAAAGCGACTTACATACTCAATACTGTGGGCAATCCCCACAGGAGCAATTTGGGGTGAAGTGTCTTGCCCAGGGACACAACGACATACTGACGGCAGTGGGGTTTGAACCTATGCCCCCCTTGATCCGAACACCAACGCACTAGACCACTACGCCACACGCCTCCCACATATCCATTAACACCAACCTGCACATGGTCACTCCAGATCTCCTCCGTCATGCCTTTCTAGAAAGAAAAAAAGCCATAGCCACAAGTGTTATTAATTAGTTATGCTACTAGGAAAGCCGACTCAAAAATTGAATTTACACTATTGTGCCGTTAATAAATAAAAACAACATTTACAAACAAACAAACATGGTTCTTCCCATCAGTTCTGACATCATGAGTGAATTAGGTATTGATTAGTGTTTGTTCTCATCAGGCTTTTGTAAGTTATCCTTCAGAAAGAGAGCTTCACATGCTGCCATCTGCTCATGTTTAGAGAGTCTACTATTCTTCACTTTGAAAAATCAACAGAGATTCCACAGAGATTTGTTACCTGCTTGTTTTGGCTAAAAATGCAGAATTACAAATGTATCCGTGATTAAAGTTGGAATATGTGAAAGTAAAACTAGAACATTATCTGAAAAGAAGAACAAATACTTTCTAGACACAAGGGGGTTTTGAATGTTGTGGTAAAATCACATGAAAGAAACCCATGGGCTATACATTTTTCATAGCAGTTTATGAGCCAGCTATGTTTGTTTTAACTCTTGGAGATTTAGCGATACTTCTGAGAAAGTCACAATCGGCCACATCCCCACTTGTCTTTCACATACATTTTGTCAATCCAGAAAAGTTTATAGTATGAGGATATCAGTTTGTTAATTTAAGGAAACAAAACTGAACTACACGGTGATGGAAGAAAGTTTGGGAAAATGTGTATTTTGGACACCAAACATAAAGGAAGTCTGTCTTCCATCTAAAAAGTATTATCATTATAAAATAATTAATAAAGTCTATCTTATCTATATATTGTGATAATTAATACATGTAAAACCCTGCTGCATCACTTACCTCCACGAATGTTTTGTACATGAGGAAACGTAAAGAGTCCAGCCTCCTCTTGTGCAGAGCATTGGGACACAGTCCTGAGTGAAAAGATGAGAACACTTTCATTTCTGCCTGCGGTGTGTACACAAATAAATGAACAACTAGACACATGTCCAGTCACACACACCTTGGTCGATGTTGAATTTCTCCATGAGTCTGAAGACATGTTTGGCGAGCAATTTGGGCTGGATCTGGCTCATGCACTGTTTGGTCAGAGAAAGGCGAGGGTAGCGCCTGAGGAAACACAACCATGAGTTCATACAGCCGCACCCTGAACACACCGTGGGCCCATATGCCTGGCTTCCTTACACCGGCTATCTGTTTATCTTTAAGGAATTTATATTATGATTTAATTCATTACAAAGCCTTGAGATGCCTTGCCCCTAGTTATTTATCAGACTCCTTTATTGTCGTGTTTTTCACTACGATCTGTTTGATGTCAGCCTGATATATATGACAACTTGTGTATGTGTTGATCACACCTGATAGCTGGTTTGAAAACACAAAACAAAAAAAAGTTTTTTGTGAGCGCTATGCCCTTTTTAAACTGTTAATCATAGCAAACAGGTTGTTGTTCAAGGTATGTTGAAAAATAAATAATATGTCAGACATTTAATTTAATGTTGGGCAATGTTTATATATAAGTGTGTGGTCGGGTTCTAGCTGTATGGCGATCTAGGCACAAACTGCTTCTGTAACAAAGTTCTACTCTTGCCCTGAACACGTAAATGCACTTTAACAAAGGAGAATCTCCTCTTGCACTTTATGTAGCTCTTGTAACTTTATGTAGCTCTTGTATCTTCTCTTGCACTTTATATGTCGTTGCTGCTATATTGTATTACCATGTCATAAATACTTGTGTGTGCTGCTCTTGCTCTTTTGCATATCATGTATTTAGTATTTGCTATGTTTGTAAAATGTAATCTTCTTAAATGTTTTATGTGAGGGACTGCGGATGGAAATTAGCTCAAAGCTAAATCTGGCACAGTTACGCTTGACACATTTTCATGTTTTCAGTGTTCATTGCTGTGCATTGTCCCTGCCAAATAAACGATTAAAATAAATACATAAAAATAAATAAATAAAAATAAACCCTGACTCAAAAATGTTCGGAGCCGAGAGCCAGAGCCGCTTCAGTGGAAACATGAAAAACTGGTTTTGAATCGGGCCCCGGCATTGAACTGTTAAATGACTTAAAAACACTTTTTTCGAATTGCTTTCATGTTATTTTATTAGTGTTTGATCATTTATGTTTATTATACTCTGTGCTTTAAAATGTGTTCTGGATTTTAGTTAATTTGACTCTCTAATTGCATTAAATGTGTTCTGTGTTTAAGTGACAGCCCTTCATACGTGTCCCATACCTGCTTATCTCGTCCACACTGAAGTAAGGGTGGCACCAGGAGTCCAGCAGTGTGACCAGCTGTTGTTCCAGATGATAGTGGCCAGTGACGAAGGACTCTGCCAAAGGCAACTTATTCTGCAAGATCAGTGGTACACACATCTACAGAAGAAGATCGTAGATTACACACCTTTGAAGTTGATGACTGTAGAGAGGCCATTTTAATAAAAGATTTGATGCATCTTAAGCATGCGTATGGTTTCAATGCTTATGAATAAAAGTGACAGTCATTTCCAGCGAAAATATTTTGTCTCACCTCCTCCATATTCAGATCTTTCTGTAATTTCAGCTTTACACTAAGCACTGCAGCCTGAAATACAATGAAGTATAAAAATGTGGTTTATTATGTCTGAAATCTTTTTGGCTTTTAAAATTAAAGTTGACAGCAAATGGGGAGCTCACCTCTTTGTAGCAGCGAAGAGACATCAAATTCATAATGTACATTACGAGTATGGCTGGGTCCAGGGAATTCAGCAGGTAGATGTTTATGAGGCCGTCTACAAAGCTGGCCTGGGTATCTATCAGTAAGTTCAGAGCACGACGTTGAAGCGCCAAAGCTTGCTGCTCTGACAGTGAGCTCAGCGTCAACTGATGGAGGAATCAACAACATATATGTAAACAATTTCTCAAAACATTAAGAGAAAAATATGTTCTCCTCCTCTATACTGAAAATGAAATCATAAACAATATGAAAAAAAGGACGGTCACAAACTTTAAGTAATAATTGTTTCTGCTGGCTTTTCTGTAAATGCAATCGTCTAAATAAGGAGTGGGCTACATTTGTCTCAGAAATATTTGATTTCACATTAATGGCTACAGTAAACACAATATATTGATATGAATACTTGTATGTGCACATATTATACCGTATGATGAATGCTTTCTACCAGTACAGAAACATGGCAGTGTTTAACATTCTAAGTTCCTTATATTCAGCTTAATAACAATGTGTACACAGAAAAGATATATCCTTGTTGTTACTTATAAATCAAGAAATAAATGTGGTTTGGTAAACCCTTTCAGTTTTTCTCCTTTTACTATTGATGTTGTTCATGGAGCCTTAACCAAGTTAGATCCAAAGAGACCGGCTGATCCGGACAACATAGAACCTTTCTTTTTAAAGATAGCTGCAGATTTTATTGCTCCACCTCTCACTTCTCTTTTTAACCTCTCTCTCAGCACGAACACAATTCCAAAAGTATGGAAGTCAGCTTATGTCCTGCCACTACTAAAAGGAGGGGAGGCCACCTTATTAAATAATTATAGACCCATCTCTAAATTGTCAGTTCTGGCCAAGGTTCTTGAAAGCCTAGTGAGTGAACAGGTAAAGGAGTTTTTATGTAAAAATGACATCCTATGTAAACATCAGTCAGGCTTCAGAAAGCATCATAGCACCATCACTGCCACAATGAAAGTGGTGAATGGTCTAATATTTTAGACAAAAAGCAGAGTTGTGCAGCTCTGTTTATTGATCTTTCCAAACCTTTCGATACCATCGATCATCATATCCTCAAGCAGAGGCTGGCCAGTATTGGCATATCCAGCCATGCAGTGGGGTGGTTTGTGAACTACCTCTCTGAAAGGTCCCAATGTGTTCAGTTTGATGGGCTCTCTTCTGAGTGGTTAAACATCACTAATGGTGTTCCCCAAGGTTCTGTTTTAGGTCCACTTTTATTATCCATCTATATCAACAGTTTAGGTCAAAATGTGGATGGAGCAACTTTACATTTGTATGCGGATGATACCGTGATGTATTGTGCAGGTCCCTCCATTAACGAGGCTGTTGTTAAAGGTGGGGTAGGTAAGTTTGAGAAACCGGCTCGAGATACACTTTTTGTTATATTCCATGGAATGCTCTTAACATCCCGATAGCAATGAATATCTGAAGTGCTTTGACAAAAAATCCATACAAAAATGTCATCTGTGGAAGCCGTAATACTGTAAAAAGCACGACCAATCATTTTAGCCGGCCCGGCTAAAATAACTGGATGGCCTACCTGCCTGTCAGCCTTCCATCTGTGCACAAACTTATCTCGTGCCCTCATTGGTCGTGTGTGTTGGAGGAGGGGCTCTGTGAGGAAGTGGCAGATTTGTTCCGGCTGTGTATTTTCAAATTCTAACGCACTCGAGCTGGTTTCTCCAAAATGACCTACCCCACCTTTAAATTACAGGCAGTTTTTAATATTATTCAGACTCAGCTCTCTGGGCTTAAGCGTATTTCAAATGTTGATAAAACTAAGGTACAGTGTGAGAAAAAGTTTTTAGAGAGTACTTGTCCATGGAAAAGTGAGTTTGGCAATTTACTTGTCCGAATACATTTTTCACTTGTCCAGAATGGACAAAAATTGGGGCCACTGGAATCTTCTTCTTCGCCATTTTCATTTCAATAATGTACTTTCTATACCCTGCTTCATAAACAATACTGACATCTCTGTGCTCCTCCGAGTCTGGGGGTCCGGGGATGTGAGGACAGCGCGAGGACACAGACAGGGAGGCTGCTTTACTTCATAAAGGAAATGGCGGTCAATATTAACAACACAGGAGCTAAAACGCTTAATAACCTTCATTACGTGTTAGAGAAAGAACATAAGAAAGTTTGACAAAGATGAGGCTGTTAAACGGGCAGCGGATCTGCTGTGTGTAGAAAGTGTGCACCGTGCAGCGATCAGCTGATACGGAGCATAGAGAGAGAGAGAGATAGAGCTGCAGTCCGCGGGGCTCGGCCTCGCCTCCTGTCCTCACAACTCTTATTAATCCCGGTACTGGACAATTGTTATTTGTTCTTACTCGGAACCGAGTTTTGCTTCCCAACCCTGCCACTGTGCTACACGTCGTTCTTATTATACATCCATGGCCCCGCCCGGGTCTAACAGTACAGAAAGCGGCGAGATGCATTTCCTTAGGAATCGACAAGCAGAACCGAAACTAACATTTCTAAACGAACAATGGCGGAAACGGACAATTTGCGAATGACTTCTGCCTTTTGTAAACTGAATTTATCAATAATTTTTCAATAAATGAGGGCGAAAAACATCACTTGTCCGCCGGACAAGTCAATTGAAAGATCTACTTGTCCGATATCGTAAATAACACGGGACGTGTGGACAATGGGACGTGTGCTTTTTCGCACACTGAGGTAATGCCTATTTTCAAAAGCCAAAAAGACACTGGGGACCACTTTGGATATTGTAATTGAAGTGGTTGCCTGTAATAAATACCTTGGTATCTGGCTTGATGATTGTCTCTCTTTTAAATTTCTGCTTAATCTTAATCTGCTTAAAAAACTGAGGGTGAAGCTAGGTTTCTTTTTCAGAAACAAGTCCTGTTTCTCACTTGAGGCCAGGAAAAGGCTAGTCTCTGTGACCTTTTTACCTGTGCTATGGTGATCTCCTTTATATGAATGCACCTGCCCATTACCTGCAAAAGTTAGATGCCGCCTATCACAGTGCACTGAGATTAGTTACTAACTGTAAAGTATTAACTCATCACTGTACCCTGTCTGCCAGGGCAGGTCTGCCTTCACTTACTGTACGGAGGCTCAGTCATTAGTACATGTTCATCTACAAAGCCATGTTGGGTAAACTCCCATCTTACATCTGCTCTCTGATCACACAGAGGGTTGCAGGTAGCTATTGCCTGAGATCTCATGCTGTGGTTTTGTTAAATGTGCCAAGTGCTAGGACTGTCTTAGGGACGAAAGCTTTTAGATGCGCAGCTCCTCTAACTTGGAACAGTCTGCAAAAAGAATGGAAACTGAGCAATTTTATTCGACTACATGTTTTTAAAGCTCGGATAGATGCTATGCAAGCTGACACGGTTGGTACCTGTACATTTCGTTAGGTATGTCAATTGTAAATCCCTGTATATATGTTGTATGATGTCCTTTTGTTTTTCTGTTGTTTTATGTTTTTATGTGGAACCTACTTGCAGCAGGTCTCCCTTGAAAAAGTGATTGATGATCTCAATGGGATTCACCTGGTTAAATAAAGGTTTGAAATTAAATGAAATAGGATACCTTTAACTGTCTGCAGTTGTTTTTCTGCCAAAAGATTGGAGAGGTCACTAAACCACTAAGGTGAAGCAGCGTCTAGAACTGCACGTCTAGAACATTAGTTCTTTACTTTAACGTTTTAGTTTGATGAAGCTTGTCTACCTGAGGAAGTTCCTTCATCCATGTCTGGAACTCGAAGAGGACGTGGTGTCCGAGGGTGTGACTGCGGCCCTTCTGTCTGCCTGGACAGCCCTCCAGGATTGTTAGTAAAGCCTCCAGAGGCTCAGACAGCTTTGAAAATCCCTGGAGGGCCGCCAAATGTAGCTGTGGGGGCAGAAAGGGGAGGAAGTGGTGTGATTTAAAACTAAAAGGAGAGGGAGGATAAGGTAAATGTCTAAAACATTACACTTTAAACGTCTTTTTAATACCGTTTCTGGGTGGAACTTTAAAATCACAATTAAATGTGCGTGCTAACCACAGTTGTTTTTGTTGATTTTTAAATAAATAAAAAGTCTTAAAAACATTTTATAAATATTACTAATAAATGAGTCAAAGTTGTTGGTAACTGACATGTGAATTATTTTAGAGCCTGAGGAGACAAACGGCTAACTTCCCTTTTTGCGCCAAGCAGACCCAGAGGCTTGTGACACATTTGAAGTCTGAGCTAAAGAATGGAAACTCTGGCAGGAGAAAATTCCTACACTAGAAAATAATATCTGTGTGAGAATGTCTTGCGCCGTGTCTTAATTTGCAAAACAGATGTCATTCACTCAATATCCTCCGCACACAGATCTCGAGTTCATTCAGTGCAACGCAAATTCCTTCCTTCCTACTGACAGACACTCTGGTTTCCTCATCAACACACACAAGCACACACACTAGTGAGCTAAACAGGCCCAGCTCTCTCTTGTATACACACACACACACACACACACACACACACACACACACACACACACACACACACACACACACACACACACACACACACACACACACACACACACACACACACACACACACACACACACACACACACACACACACACACACACACACACACACACACACACACACACACACACACACACACACACACCACACACACACACACACACACACACACACACACACACACCACACACACACACACACACACACACACACACACACCACACACACACACACACACACACACACACACACACACACACACACACACACACACACACACACACACACACAGAGAGGTGACACGCTGTGAAAGTGACTCACCGTCTGCAGATTTTTCTGGTTCCATAGCATGAAGAGTTGGTCTCTCAGCACGACGGGGTCAAGACCTGAGGGGATCACACACACACCATAGATGAGGTGGGGTTTCACTCTGACCTTTGACCTCTATCAACCTGTCAAACCCAGCCTATATAGTTGGTTTTTTTTCTTTTGACCATGCAAGGCACCTGATAGCTTCTATTAGGGTCTTACGGAGCTTACACACGGCGGCGTGCGTTGAAGCTTCAACGCTTCTGCTCATTCACTTTGAATGGGGTGACGTCACGCTTCGACGAACTGCATTGTGGGAACAAAGTATAGCTTTGCTCGCGTTGCTCGCTTCAAAAGTAGAGCAATGTTATACTTTTGAAGCTTCGACGGAAGCGTCAGCCAATCGAATCATATGCCAGTCCAAGCTCTAGCCAATCAAACCGCTGCTTGGGTGTCCGGGGCGGGAGATTCATGTGATTGGTTGTTGGCCGAGCGTCAGACATGCCCGCCGGCAAGTTTCAAAGCACGCCGCCGTGTGTAAGCTCCGTTATGGACAGTAAAGAGTTCTGATTTGGGAAAATACAACTATTCAAACTGAATAAGTCTAGATCTTATCTTCTCATTCTCAAAATCAAACCAGTTATGCAACTGGGTTGTTTTGCTTACAATGAAAACCCATTTTATTTTTCTACCAAAGCCTCCATTGACAAAGTATTTTAAACAGTAACAACAATTACCTGCATGGACAAATGTTTAGCAATTCTTTTAAACTATGTCCCCAGGCTGTAATTGCCATTATCTTGTCAATTCATTTCCATTTTTGCATGAAAAATAACTTGATCGGTTACCAAAACAGTTAGTAATAATTGTTCTGACTATAGACTAACCCACACATTGACTTATTGTTGCAGCTCTACTCTGCAAATACGCAATGCTGATTTGCTGTACTGGTGATGTTCATAAAAAAGTCAAAATTGTCTCGAAACACCTTCTTTAGTGTCCAACCTTAATCTTAGATTCAGGTAATCTGATATCCTGGAATTATTGTTAGTGAAAATAGGCAAAGTTGAGTAGCCATAACGTCAAATATTATTTCTTTAACAGGCATGGCAAAGCAGCCATAACATGGGATGAACAGCTGAGGCTGGTTGGATGGTGGAGGAACCCGGCATTAGATCTGCATTCCAGCTGAATCTGCAGCCAAAATACTCCAGAGGAAACTCAGGGCACATTTTATGGAAGGACACAGTGGGTGAAACACTCTAGAAAAGAGAGGAGATGTAAGATTGTGTGCATGTCAGTGTCTAACTGCATGAAGGTGTGTTCCACTTAGAAAAAGCTCTTTCTCTGTCGCTCATGCTGTGTGGGCTTCACCAATACCTGCCCCCCCTCCCTCTTCCCATGGCTAGTTTTCCTGTTCTCCTCTCACTCCCTGCAGCAGCCTCTCTGGATTGTGTCTCGGATTTCCCCAGGAAAGGGCTATGCGGTGGTCATGGTGTAAAAAAGACAACCTTCCTGATGCATAGCCTGGGAAAGCAAAGCAGAAGGCCACTCCCTCTCTGTGTTGGCCCTCTTTCTTTACTCGATCCCTGCTGACACTTTTGGTCTCTTTCATGTTGCCTCTTAAAGAACTTTACTTGCTTGAGAATCTTAATATATGTTTATCTTCTAGCTGCACCCTCTCTACTTCAGATTGTTTTTCAGTCCCTATGCTTCCCTGTGCTTCACCCACTTTATCTTAAAACCATGTGCATTAAGTATCACTTTAAGTAAGTATCACTTGTTTCTAAGTTTGCCATCTTCTCTGATGACGGTTCTTTGTCTCATATTACACAGAGACTCAATAAATAATCCTTGCCAAAACCAAAAAATAAATTGATTATCTGTTTTGCGTTTTTACAAAATTCCAGTCATGCTATGCTTTTTGCATGTTCTATATATATATATATATATATATATATGTGGCAGGCGCTTTCAAAATATACAACAGTTTCCGATACCATCCAGAAAATATGTTTGTTTCCATTTACTTAAAAGTTGTTTTTTAAACCACTTTAAATGACTATAATAACTGAATCATGAGTAACAGTTGCATGGTAAAGCAGCTCAGGCTTTTACAATGGACCAACACGTTATTATTTCACAATGGGGCCAGCTTTGACAGTAACATGATAGCATGCTATGGAAGACGGTCAACAGCATAGGAGGCTGGGTATCTAACTAGAAAGTGAGGAATCCCTGCGTCTCACATTTCTCTTTCTCCAGAACTGACCATCCGATCTACTTCACCCTCGGTGGGTGTATTCCCGGGGGCAACGGACCACATACTGCCAACTCAATGATCGACTAAGTGTTATTTAACCAAGGGACTGTTATAATGAAGTACACTCAAGGACGACAGACATTGAGACTGTCAGTTAAATGTAGTAGTACAATGTTTTTCTCTGAAGCAGAAGTAGTCAGTTAGTAAATAGAATACTTTAATTTTATATATATTGTTAGGTGCTTTGGAAGCTCTTTGGAAGGTATTTCGGGAAAGAATAGTAACATCATTTAATATTTGTAATAGCTACACATGGAAATAAACCTATGTTTGTTCTGACCCTTTAGATGAGGGGCACCCTGAGTGTGAAGTTGTTTGTAAGAGAGATTCTCAAGAAAGCTGCAAACAGCAACACCCCAGGGTCAGGCATTCAGCCCTTTCCTAACAGACATGTTTTGAACATGCACTGCACCAGTGTAGTAATTGGGCTAAGATGTGCAAAAACCTTGCAATGGTCCCCTGAGAGCTCCTTTAATTTCAAGCATTTGAATAGCGACAGAGATTCCTTTGCTGTTTTCTGTGCTTCTGCGCTGTTATACACCCCACTCCAGCCCATTCAACCCACTGACGACCATGCGTACATGCACAGGGACACACACAAACACAAACAGCACAGCCCACTTCACTTCAGTCTCACTGTTTGGGTGAGGAATGTGGAGCATGTAGCTTCTTTAGAGTCCAGGCTGCTGGATGAATGACAGAGCTGGAGGCTCCCCATTCATTGCGACATAATAACCTCCATCACCAGGTATAAATACACAGACACACATACAGTACATGTACTCATTCACCTTTTTGTGAGAATGTATTCATTTGAAATATGAGAAAACAACATTTACAACTCATGAATTGAGTCTCGATTACGGCTGTATAGAATTAGTTTTTTTTAAACCTTAGAAGCTTCTATTGAGGTTTTTGAATGAAGCTTTGAATGTCAGTTGATATATTCAAACTAAATCATTAATCTTAATAAAGAGATAAATCAGATTAAATGAAGTAGTCTTGCGTTTTTTATGAAGACAATCTCTTAATGATATAACTTGTCCTATCTCCCATTGTGTGCAGGCAGCCGGAGAGAAAACTGTCTTTTAACCACATCAAAAATAGTTTTCTGAGGCTAAATTTGTATTGAAGCAGAATATATTGTTAAACACCAAAATGTTGGGAATTTAGACAATTATATCATTTTTAAATGACATAACATCAAGGCTATGGGTTTTTTGAGAATGTTTGGATCACACGAGTCAGAAACAAAACTACACACTGACCACTTGAATATATAAAAAAGAGTAATGAAAGTGTAACATATCTTTAACAGCAAGTATGCAAAAATACCGGGTTTAATTATTTTTTTAAATCTACATTTGTATGTTGTTAGGTCTGCGTTATTTATTAAGCTATCCTATCCTCCAGCTCTTGAAAAAACAATAAAGGTGACACATACATTTCAATACAATTTGACAGACATTAAATCTACAAGCGGGCCTAACTGCCTGAAACACAAAGCTCAAGTGTCTAAATGGGGCATTTGGTGTCACTACAGCCACCAGAACAGCTTCAGTGTGACTTGGCAGAGAGTGGGCTAACTCCACTGGAAGGATGCCATCACATTCTCCTTCAAGTACTTCTCTCCTTTTGTATTTGGTTGTTGGAGCTAAAAAACTTGTCAACAGGTGCTTTGACTGAATCTCGAAAATAAGGAGAGTACAAGCACTTGCAAAATGCATTGCTTGTTAAAGCGTTGATGCATGTTAATTCCTTCTCCAGAATTGAGTACAACTTGGTTTCTATCCAAATGAAACATACCAACAGACAGTGAAACAAGGTTGATGATATCATTGTACACCCTGTGGGCTCATTGTGTACAGAAAAACTAATGTCGCTAAGAAACAAATTGTAAACTACTTACAGACATGAGTCAAAGTTAGTAACTACACAGTGGCACCACATGTATCTGTCACTATAAAAGAGATGACTTGTAAAAATATGTAGTGAACAAGTGCTGAAAACGGTTGGTTGGAAATTAAAATGTAATTTATCAAATGACCTAGGATTTTTGTTTATAGTCAGTAAACATATTTTGTTTTAGGCATATATATATATATATATATATTTATTTATGATGTAAATAATGAAAGAACTGTCTGTGTAAACTAAGTGATACATACCCACTGTCTTTGGAGTAGTGTTGTTCATTTCAGTCCAATGAAAAGGTGCTGCTGTCCCTCTGTTGAGGAAGACACACAACACAACACTGTTAAAAAAACACCACAACTGCTCAAATCCATTTGCTTTGTACTACTTTTATTTGATTAGTTTGTTATGATTATTATCGTTTTCCCTTAGTGTTCTATTTGCTTTTATTTGGAATGGTTGTCTTGTGTTTTAAAAAGAAATGTTATGAGAAGCCTGGAAATACCATGTTTTGCTACCTTACTTGTGAAGAAAAAAACACAACATTGAATAACAATAAAGGCAGTTATGAGATGTTGTTTGGAAAGTATTTATTTATATGCCACACAATGATATGGTAAAGAAGCTAAAGTATGTAGGTCAAGATATGACAGTGACACCCTACAAATAGCTTCACCGAATGTATTTGCTCTCAGTTTTGTTCAGCAACAACTTTCCATTGTCTTGAATTATGTCAAAGCTTTAGTTATAATCCAACTAAGAAAAAAGAAAGATGTGTTATTAATGCAGCAGTTTAAAACCAAACTTCAAGGAAAACTGTAGTGGTTATGAACCAGTTTCGCTCATGATATCATTTCTGCACACACACACCGAAACCTGTGGGAACAGCAGCCTGAGAAATGGCAAGATGCCAGCTGGCTATGAGACTTGATTTTAGGCTGAGGATGTTTTTTAGGCCTGAAGTCTGTTTCTATCAGACCGGCTTTAGCTCGCAGCACTATCCGGGCAACAGCACGTTTTCAGGGGATAGTGGAGGATGAGAAAATTGCGTCTTGACTGTTTTTATTATCTTCTATCTCCACCTAGTGGTAATACAACACACACCCTACTTCCTTAGAGCTTGTTGTCATACTTTCTGTGAGCAAACATTAGCTTGTCTGACACAGCTAACTACTTAATGACACCCACACGTGCGGTAAAATGATTACTGCTCGAGCTAATTCAATGCTAACATAATGCTTGTAGTTTGGACGACGTCGTTCTTTGTTTTAGCTTGGGACTCACTTTAGCCTAGCTAAAACGTCACTGTCATGTTGCTTCCCAGTACACCGTACATTTTATGTTTCAGACAAGCAAAATATATTTAATTACGCTAATGTTAAGTTATTTTATTGATGCGTATGAACTCACCATGTGCTACTTTCTTCAATTAGCTGTCGTCAGGTGGACTGTATGAAAGCTACCTTGCTAGTTTGTGAGCAACATTGGACCCAATGTGATGATTGCTTTCTTTGCCCTGAGTTAAATCCAAGGCTAACATTGCCGTCACTGTACACAAATGCAGATTTAATCGCCGGTCTGAGGACTGTGACGTCTGCAAAATGCCATACCTTTAACATTTAACATGACTTTCAAACCTTTCTGACAATTATTTACTTGTGTTTATCGGGAGATATAAACACACTTAAGGTAAAGCTGCCTGTAGTTCAGTACATGGGGAAAAGGTAACCCTTTGGAAGTTCTCGCTCTTCTGCTTGTTTTCAGCGGAAGCTGTCTTTGCAGGCTGAAATGGCACCACTGCCATCCTCTGGTCAAGGGAAATATTTAGGCTTTTTCCACAAAACCATTTGAAATGGTTAGTTTATTATTTAGTTTTCAAAAGAGAAGGATCAAAGAAAAGTCCACAAAAACATAGGGCTTCCGATTTGTGTATCACAACTCTTTCTTCTTTCTTTTGCAAAAGAAAGGCTGGCTAAATGTACATCTTGAAGGATTTACAGGTCCCATGTCATGGCCATTTCTACTGATCATAATTCCATTGTTGAGGTATACTAAAATGCATTTATATTGTGCAATTTTCCAAACTTACATTGGTGTCTCATACAGCATCTCTGTATAGTAGGCCTATGTGTATTCAATCTGTCCTAAACGGCTTGTTGGAGCTCCTGCCATCTCCCCCTCCCTGTGAGCCCAGTGGCCGTCTGCGAGACAGCGAGACACAGCGAAACCCAGCCCGAAACACACACACACACACAGGGCCGCCCCTGGCCAACTTGGGGCCCCAAGCGACATTGTGAGATGAGGCCCCCCCCCCCCCCCCCCCAACCGACAGGAGTGAAAAAAAATTGTTTTGGAAACAAAGTAGGCTACTTTGAAAATATAATTCCTGTTTATTATTATTATCAACACTTTTTTATGCAGTGAGGTAAATGGTTGTGCATCTATGTCGTTCAGTATGCGTTTACAGGTACGTCTGCATTTCCTGCCAAATACTAGCCTCAAAAAGATTAAAATATAATTAATGCAAATAAACAACTTCTACTAATAATAAAAATCATAATCAATTCAAAATATAAATACTATATTATTTTATTATAATATAGTTGTATAGTCAAGACAAAACATGCTTATGACATGCTCAAAAACTGATATTTCTTAAATCTGTATTCAAATGTAGTTCCCTCTGTCAGCAATGTATCAACAACTACACACACATTTCTATCAGTATTTCTCTGTGTGGTGGTTGACATGATGATGACTGTTAGGATTTAAGGGGAGAGGCTGAGCATCACCATGAAATGTGCAAATTGACATAAAAATGAATAAAAGGGGGAAAAATGCTCCATGTTTTTTAAGATGTAAACTTTAACTGTTATGTAAGCCAACTAGACAGACAGTGTATCACTCTTCCTCCTGTACATTAGCAGATAAAAGGCATCACATACTTGAATGAATGGTAAATAAAGAATGCTGGAAATAACTGCATCTCCATTAGTCTATATGCTATGCAGGGACTGCCTTCTTCATGTCGTGAATTGTAGCTGATGTTTTAATATGGCAATTGGCAATTTGACTTATACAACATTCACAAGTTTTACATCTGACTCATACAATAACCCACCTTCGAGTGATGCTCTAGTTTCTTCATGTTTTGTTTTTTTCCCCTCTTGCTTGCGCCGGACTGAAACTGTTTTTTCACCGACATCTCTTTAGCTGCACTAGTGGCCGTATCAAAGCCGTGATTGGTCAGATGTCGATTCATTGCAACGGTGTCGGGTTACAGACGTGCTCTCCTTCTCACTCTCGCGGGGGGTGCGCGGAGAACTGAGCGGAGAACTGCACACAGCAGCTGAGGCTCTCTGGGCGGGGCCCCCTGCGCAAGGCGGGGCCCCATGCAGCCTGCGTGATTGGCCTGTAGGGAGGGGCGGCCCTGCACACACACACACACACACACACACACACACACACACACACACACACACACACACACACACACACACACACACACACACACACACACACACACACATACTATGGGGGTTATTCCCTATCTTTATTCAAGAGCGTGGTCTTTAAATGTGAGAGCATACTTTATTGATTTCACGTTCAGAATATGTATTTATTTCCCTCAAACCCTGTCCTCACACTCAAATAGTACCTGCTTGCGCTTAGATTTGCTCTGCTTCTGCTCAAACTGTACGCTTGCACTCAGATATATTGCTGCTTACAGATTTCCTGAGTGCGAGGAGAAGGTTTTAACCTGTGTTTTTGAGTTGATGAGTAGTGCAGATATCACTGTAAAATCAATCGACAGTAAAGAGAATACTTACTTCCGGGTGCAAAATCCTCCATTATCCAATGGGAATGGACGTTCACATTGCTCTTTGTGTCCGTAATACAATAAAGGGGACATGATCAAATAGGAATATAATTATCTTTAAAAAAAACGTTAACTAAAGGGAACAATCTATTTGACAAAGCTGAAGCTCTGGCCTTCCTTAAAAACTAACTAATTTATAAAAAATCACAGTTACACACAATGCACTGTTTTTTTAGAACAACAATTCGTAACTAATGCACCATAATATATTCTGACGGGAAAAAAAATGTATTATGAATACAAATAAAATAAAAGAAGCCTCCCGTGAGTTACTACAAGCTATAAAGTAGATTTTAAAAACGTATAGAATAAAAGCTCACTGCTGGACGTTGTAGAAATGCGTGTGTACGCACCATACAGTTTATGGTACGCACACAATACGACAAAGGAGCCTCATTCACTTTACATTCGGGGTTGTTTGTGTGGTGCAGAAACGTAAATGTAGAGTTCGTGACTCCACCACGCACTGCGGTGTTAAGGAGTCGTGGTGGAGTCACGCATTCTGGTGAGACCAGGTTGATCAAGGTGTTTGACATAAAGCCTTATTCATATCACCACTGTACCATCCTTGATAAACACAATTTCATGAGTTTTGACATTTGTAAGTCTTTTAAAAGTATGTGCTTTTTTTATAAATGTTTACATGGACTGGCCGCTGCACTAGGTCAGAAACCAGAGGAGACTGTGAGGTCCACCGTAGACGGTACACTTTTGGACAAAATGTCCTCTCCATTAAAGGCAGCTCATTGTGGAATAGCCTCCCAACTGAGATACGGGATTGTCCCACTCTCAACAGTTTTAAAGGTCAACTAAAAGAATGGTTGAGAAACAAACAGATGTGCAATCACCGCTAAATGCACTTTAATACTGGTTTCTCCTCTTGCACTTTATGTATTATCTTCTCTTGCACTTTATATGTCGTTGCTGCTATATTGTACCATGTCATAAATACTTGTGTGTGCTGCTCTTGCTCTTTTGCACTTTTTGCATCATGTATTTGTCTTTGCTATGTGTATAATTGTCATGTTCTTAAATGTTGTATGGGAGGGACTGCGGATGGAAATGAGCTTCAAGCTAAAATCCGGCATATTTACACTATTTGCATTTTCTTGTTTTAAGTGTTCATTAATGTGCATTGTTCCTGCTGAATAAATGATAACAAAAAAAAGAGACCGACTACAAAAGGTAGACTCAATGGCTCTTGATGACATCAATGAGCAGTCCCAATAGATGCTGTTGTATAAAAAGAAATAGAATAGGTCCAGATTTCTTCTATTTTGTGTTGGATGATTTGTTTTATTGATTGCTGATGGATGTTAAGATGTGTTTTACAATTAGAGCTAGGGAAGTAACAATAACCTCCTAACAAACGTAAGGTTAAGTTAACATTAACGTAACGTTGTAAGAAAGCAAAACGAACCTTCAAGAAAGCTTTTACTCTCAGACTGGGTGAAATTGTGCAGTGTTGACTTTTAGCGCTTTTCCCAGTAGACAGAGCTGTCAGAGCGGTTCTATGCTGGTTTAGCTGGCCAGGCTGGTCTTGAACCAGCATGACAAGCCTGGCAAGCTTGTCCAGCCTGATAAACCAACTAAACCAGCCGAACAACAGCTAAAACCAGCAACCATCTTAAGCTGGTCTAAGCAGGGTAGTCATTGGTCAATGCACTGCCTGGGCTGAAATAAGGAGAATAAGAAGGGGGCTATATTTCCATCAATTCTTGAAGAGACAGCTGGACATAAAGACAGACATGATGGAGAAAAAAACGATTGTGTTTTCTGTGCTACTGCTGCTGCTGGGGTGCACATGGACCATCCAGGCAGACGTTGATGAGGTGACTGGCTGACCTCTTACTAAACATTATGTTGGTTACATGTACATTTCTGTGGAATATTGTATGGCTGTTGGTTCTTTATATTAATGATCTGCTGTGCAAACATTTAGAACGTGTTTACCCTTATCTTGAAACATGTTGAATTGAATGTTTAGTGGAATATTTGTATAAAAGTTTTCAAATGTATTGTCTGACTGTCTTTGGCTCGGAAACAGGTGGAGAAACCTGTGAATCGGACTATGGATCCTGCACACGTGGAAGACTTCAATCCCTTTTCAAGTATGCCCAATATAACCTTGTTCAATGCAATAGGTAATAGATTAGTTTATTTACCCCGGTACACTTGATGTGCAGTGAGGCTAACTGAGTGCAGTGAGGCTAACTGAGTGCTGTACATTAGAGATCCTGAATCTGATGTTAAAGTACTAACACATGTTGTCTTCCCCTTCCTGTTCTCTCTCTCCCTGCAGAGGACTGTAAAAAAGCACCAGAACACGGGCCTTGTCAGTCATTGATAATCATTGAAAGGTACTTCTACAACCCCTCCTCAATGACCTGTGAGATCTTCACCTATGGCGGGTGTGGGGGCAACCTGAACAACTTTGAAGATAAGGCCAAGTGTATGGAGAGCTGTCACACTGCAGAAGATTAGGATGACACAAAAAATGGGTCTGATTAATTGTCCCATGTTGCTTTGAAAACACACATCACTGTGTGAATGTTATCTGTCTCAGTTTTTGTACTGTCTGTATCACGATATTAAAGTTGAACATTTTACTTGTGCTGTTTTCTGTTTTTTAAGTATATTTATTTAACCTGGATCAGTAACAGCATTAAAATGCTTTACAAAATAGTATTTAATCAGGGAACGGCCTGAATCAATAAACATATTTGGCATTGCTATAAAGAACCAGTGTGGCAGCCTATCAAAAGACCATTTTAAAAAATGGTCAAGAATGGTCCTGCTTCATGAAACAAACCAAACAACAAATGTGTCCTTCACAAGTAGGGCTTCATATGTTTAAACACATGAATAAACATCAATGTCAAAAAAGTAAAACGTGAAAAAGCGAGTAACGGTAAACTTTCCTCAATCGTGTGTGTTTGATGAGTGGAAGCAGGAAGCAACGTGTTCTTAATTGTAGCTGCAATAAAACATGAAACTTTACAAATGTATACAGCTGCTGCTACTGACAGTAAATAATGTAAACATAAAATATATACTCGAAAATGCTCAAATACCAGAATATATAAAACACATACAGTATGAGAACATATACTTGCTCTGATTACTGGGACACAACACCGCACATCAAACATTAGGAGTAACGAGTCTTTCAAAAAGTCCTTTCTGTGATATAGGGCTATATGAATACAAATAGCTTTACTTGACTGTACCATACCGTCTATTTGCCTGTCTGAAATAAGGAGCTGGGAAATAACTTTACATTTGTTCAAGAAGCAAAGAAGCACTACCTCAGCAGATAACAGTAACAAACAAGAAACAACAAACAAGAGTCATCCATTGTTTTTATTGGTGGTCTGCTGTAATGGGTGTTATGTGATTAAATTACCATATGAAAGTGTTTGTGATCAATACAGTTAGTTGCATGCCATGTAATTAAATGACAGTTATGTAACAAATGTAAGTAACAAATCGGTAACAACCAAATGTAATGTTTTCGGTAAAAACTATTACAAAATATATTGACAGATATCAGTGTTGAATACTGTTCTTACATTTGTTAGAACAATCTAAAATAAATCAAATATAATAAGTTTCATAACTTATTACGTTTTTAACAGGGTAACAAGTCATCTTTAATATATTACATTTATAAATTGACCTTTCCAACATTTCAGATATACCATGAGAGATGAGACAAAAGCATGACTCTTTATTGGGATGCTGATTCAAGTTGCATCTCTGTATTATGATGAGCAGTTTGCTCAGTTTGCTTTCAGGAGCTCTCCCTCGATAAAAGACCAAAAACACATAATTATTTCCTCATATCTGGGTGGATATTTCCATGTTTGTGTGTGTTTGATAACCCCTCACCGTCATTGACCACCTCACAGTACTCTTCCCACTCGGCCTTGCTGTAGAACTTGTTGGCGTTCCCCTGGCAGAAGCCCTGTTTGTACGGCACGCAGAGGCACACGGTGGAGTCGAAGGCCCAGACGCAGGCAGGCGGCACACAGCTGGAGGCAGAGGAGAGTTCATATTGTCATGCAGGGCAGGGCTGTGGAATTCATATTACACGACTATTGAACATTTGAAGAAAAAATGTAACGTATCATTTTTAAATTACATAAAATCAAGGCTATGGGGTTTTTGAGAATGTTTGGATCACACGAGTCAGAAACAAAACTACACACTGACCACTTGAATATATAAAAAAGAGTAATGAAAGTATAACATATCTTTAACAGCAAGTATGCAAAAATACCGGGTTTTAAAAAATCTACATTTGTATGTTGTTAGCTCTGCGTTATTTATTAAGCTATCCTATCCTCCAGCTCTTGAAAAAACAATAAAAGTGACACATACATTTCAATAAAATTTGACAGACATTAAATCTACAAGCGGGCCTAACTGCCTGTTGCCAGGCAGCTGCCAAAATAAAGGAAACACAAAGATCAAGTGTCTAAATGGGGCATTTGGTGTCACTACAGCCACCAGAACAGCTTCAGTGTGACTTGGCAGAGAGTGGGCTAACTCCACTGGAAGGGTGCCATCACATTCTCCTACAAGTACTTCTCTCGCTTTGTAATTGGTTGTTGGAGCTAAAAAAACTTTCAACAGGTGCTTTGACTGAATCTCGAAAATAAGGAGAGTACAAGCACTCGCAAAATGCATTGCTTGTTAAAGGTGGGGTAGGTAATTTTGGAGAAACCAGCTCGAGTGCGCTAGAATTTGTAAATACACAGCCGGAAGAAATCTGCCACTTCCTTACAGAGCCCCTTCTCCAACACACACGAACGCGCACATGACCAATGAGGGCACGAGATAAGATTGTGCACAGATGGAAGGCTGACAGGCAGGTAGGCCATCCAGTTATTTTAGCCGGGCCGGCTCAGATGATTGGTCGTGCTTTTTACAGTGTTACGGCTTCCACAGATGACATATTTTAATCTATTTATTGTCAAAGCATTTAATATATTCATTGCTATCGGGATGTTAAGAGCATTCCATGGAATATAACAAAAAATTTATCTCGAGCCGGTTTCTCAAACTTACCTACCCCACCTTTAAAGCGTTGATGCATGTCAATTCCTTCTCCAGAATTGAGTACAACTTGGTTTCTATCCAAATGAAACATACCAACAGACAGTGAAACAAGGTTGATGATATCATTGTACACCCCGTGGGCTCATTGTGTACAGAAAAACTAATGTTGCTAAGAAACAAATTGTAAACAAAGCTACTTACAGACATGAGTCAAAGTTAGTAACTACACAGTGGCACCACATGTATCTGTCACTATAAAAGAGATTATTAGTAAAAATATGTAGTTAAACAAGTGCTGAAAACGGTTGGTTGGAAATTAAAATGTAATTTATCAAATGACCTAGGATTTTAGTTTATAGTCAGTAAACATATTTAGTTTTAGGCATATATAATAGAGTCCAAAGGAGTGAAAACATCTTATTATACATCACTTCTTCTAGTTTTTGTTCCTGAATTATATTCCCACAGATACATAGACGGTAAATACAATGGGAATACTCGTGCCTAATAGCCATTGTATATTAAAGTAGGTTACCTTCTGTATACCAAGCATCCCTTTACCTTCATGTGAGTGGGTTTGAAGTAAATAATGAAAGAACTGTCTGTGTAAACTAAGTGATACATACCCACTGTCTCTGGAGTAGTGTTGTTCATTTCAGTCCAATGAAAAGGTGCTGCTGTCCCTCTGTTGAGGAAGACACACAACACAACACTGTTAAAAAAAACACCACAATTGCTCAAATCTATTTGCTTTGTACTACTTTTATTTGATTAGTTTGTTATGATTATTATCGTTTTCCCTTAGTGTTCTATTTACTTTTATTTGGAATGTTTTTCTTGTGTTTTAAAAAGAAATGTTATATGGAAGAGAAGCCTGGAAATACCATGTTTTGCTACCTTACTTGTGAAAAAAAACACAACATTGAATAACAATAAAGGCAATTATGAGATTTTGTTTGCAAAGTATTTATTTATGTGCCACACAATGATATGGTAAAGCAGTTCAAGTCTGTGGCCGTTTCTCAATCTCGAGGATGCTGGCTTGGTAGTCGCGTACTTCCAAGTCACTTCCTTCAGAAACGAAGCAAGTATACTTCCAAGCCACGGCTTCGGAAAACAAAGAAGAATGGAACAGGCTAACAAGTGTGCCACTCTCTCTAACGCAGTGGTTCTCAAAGTGGGGGGTGCGCCCCCCCTGGGGTGCGCAGAGGCATGCCAGGGGGGGCGTGAGAGACCAGGAGGAAAAATGGTTATAAAATTTTTAAAAAAAAAGATTTTAAAAAATCATAATTTGAAAAAGTATTGATTCTAAAATAATATGATACAGTACAGTACTATTACGTCTGGGTCTCTGTGTTTCATTAATGCTCGGCTCTGTGTGTGTGTGTGGAACGAGCCATTTTGTGTGTGCGCGCGCGCGAGAGAGAGAGAGAGAGCGCACCGGTACCGGAGATCGTTGTTGTTAGCTTCTGGTGCTAGCGAGCTACGCTAACGGATATAAGGAGTTTTTTCAACAACAAAGTGAAGGAGAGTCCTCTCCTGTCAGACTGAGAGACTCAGTGAGCTAAAGGACTCTCTCAGTGTTATCTCAGTGGGTCTCAAACATTTTGGTCACCATTAATGTAAACAATTATTTCCGAGGCACACATTTATATGATCATTATAGTTCTAAAAAAATAAGAGATTGAATGAAAAACAGCTATGAAATACTATATGACAGTAAAACAAGAATAAAGTTTAAAAGGGTGATTTGTAAAATATCCATAAAGAAAAAGTAAATCTGTTTACGGTTCTGTTTCAAATGGGTGTTGAGAGATGTATCCATAGATCTCTTCATTTTGCTCTCAAAGTGCACCAGATTGATGCTTTTAACTTCAATATTTAAAAATAAATCTTCCCGGGGGAGCTTGCCCCCGGACCCCCCTATGTGAGGTCCACACACCACCTATAAAAATAGCACATGACCTCTGCTTACACCTATATGCCGTGAGCTGATTATCGAGCCTTCATTGTAACAGTTGCGGGAACACTGTGTATATGCGTGTGGGGAGTGTTGCAGTAGAAAATTCCACTGTAGCGACCGGTACATTAATGGGAAACCCTAAATGTCTGAGCACCCTCTATGAAATGTCAAGCTACCCCACAGCACCCCCAAAATAAATCTCTGGTGCCGCCACTGAGCCTGACTATTTGTGTTGGGGGGGGCCCAATTTTTTTTTTCTCCTGACAGAAAAAGTTTGAGAACCACTGCTCTAACGGTTTCAACATAAACTGTACCGAAAATAAATACCTCACCATGTCTATCTAATTATGAACTTGCTTTACTTTCACGGAACACATTTTTGGTGATAACAAATGTAACAAAGTAACATATTTACCAACACATGTTCTACACCATTACATACTTACATCTCTACTCTCTCATCCACTCTGGACTCGCTCTGTCCTCTACATCTCGGCAGGCTCGTCAGTCCCCTCCTGCTCCTTGGCTAAATGATGCACTGCGTGCTAATAGAACCGTCCTTAGGGCAGCAGAGCGGAAATGGTGG